CACTCAGACAGGCAAGCAAACGGGCAGGCATGCACACACACACAGACTTGGAAAACACAGCAGAATGCGGGAATCATGGCAAGGCATTCATTCTAGTGGCAAATCCCTGAAATCAGCAGTGTTCTCAGTCTGTGCTTTGGCGGGTCATTACAGAAGGATCTTTCAAGAGTTTATGATATAGTGTCAAGGTCAAGACTTCGTAAGTTTATCCTTAGAAACTATGATCTGGTCCCGACAATGATCACAAAGAAAGGAAAGAAAGTCAGCCATCCGATAAGAGAGCTGCTTCAGGAAACTGAGAGAAAAGCAGTGAGACAGAGAGACACTGTAGAGACAGAAAATTTCAATTGACCCTACCTACTCTTGCATTATCAATTCGGTATGTCAATTTTCAGCATGTCGGACTTCGTCACAAAGGACTTGAGAGAGACTTTCTGAGATGATCTGTATTCGTTTCTGCATCCGAACTGATTTTATTATTTTCTATAAGCGGCAGAAAAAATGGGATTAAAGTGTCAAGAATGATGGACCACAGTTGTTCCATGAGTGTCTGATCCCTTAGTGGGAAGCAGTTGTGAAGTGCAGTTGCAGAGATATCAAGTTCAGAGAATTCATGGTTGTGGCACATTAAAGAGTAGCCAACGTTAATCTCATGATGAGGGGAAAGTCTGACGGGCATAAAAAAGTTTAGCTCTATCTGACTAGAGAGTTGTCGGTAGAGAGACTTTGTGAGAAAAGATTAACACATTATGGAGTTATAAAATAAAGAAGACAACGTGACCTTTAGTATCACGGCGCCGTCATCTCCTTCAACGACGGTCTCAGCTTCACAACAGCTGCGACATACTCAACCCTTCCACTCATTCGCCACTCAGATTGAGGCATAACTTCCTACTTCCTATGCTAATTTATACTAGTTTTTATTGTACGTACAATTGGGTGTTCAACTCGTAGCACGTACCACACTCCCGATACCCGTAAGTATCAGAAACCAGGACCAAAAAACGTTTGGTCGTGCCAGCCTCACGGAGGCCGCATTCCATACTCGATACATGCGCAGACTAAGTCCGAGCAGTTTCCGTCAGGATGTTAGATATCTGGTCCTGTAATCGGGCCACTGCAAACGCAGCCAAACCATGCTTCGTCTTCATATGGACAGGAGGCCGAGATGCACGTGCTTGAATCTGGAAACGACAACCAACTGCCTGCGTTGAGGCAGGTCCAGAAGGTCTCACAGAGAGCCAGAAGTACATATTTTTGCCGCCGAAAACAATTTTCACTGCGTGGTGCAGTCCGCAGATGGCAAGACCAGTCACAATCCAAAGGATACCACACCCAATACTGCCCGGTACGACCCAAAAAATGCATATGGGATACCCCATTGTCCAAGTTAGGACGAAGAAAAATTCAGCATTTTAATTAGGCGGACGAGCTTACCCCATAGTGGTACGGGGTCCCTGCGTTGCATCCACTGTATACCTGCGACAACAACAGTAGCAGGGTAGGCGTGCTTTCAGAGTTCCTCCGCAAGGGATAAAACGTCACAACAAATCAGGCCTTCGTCATTGCAGTTCTGTGAGATCCTTAGGATGGTATTGGCCACTGCAGCGAATTTAGCTGCTTTTGGGCCAAAAGATGAGAAGTCTTTAAAGGTGCGGAGTCGTAGGTCCCCAGGGGACCAAATGGTTCCGGCGTTTTTGAATTTATGAGAAGCAAGGACAAAAATAACACCGTTTGTAACGATGAGTCTGGTTTCCAAAAAATCCAGAACGCCAATTCCAGGGTCAGTTCTTTCCAGGATTAACTTCGCAGGGTAACAAGCGAGAATCCGGTCAAGTCTTTCTTCAACTTTCTTTTCTCCTTCCTGGTCATTGACACGGAAGAAAGAAAAGAGAAGGAGATCGTCTATGTACCGTTTCCCAGTTATGAGCCTAGCGTCTGTCCCGAGGGACCGAATGAACTTGGACTCTGCAAACATACACATAATACAGGCAAGTGGAGGACTTGCCCGGCCACCCATAGGGAGTCCTTCTGTCTCAGGATGCAGTCGGAAACAAAAAAAAAAGGTGTTCTTCAATTGGAAGTTGGTCAGGGAAATCAGTTTGTTAAGCCTTAGAGACTTCCAACCTGATTCCCCGTGTGATTTCCCAAACATTACTAACTTTTTCCGACTGTTAAATCTGAACCATTTTATTCCTCGTTCAGAAAACAGACTGACCACCCATTCAACGGTGAGGCGAATCTCATTGTGTGGCAGTTGTGTGAACATTTCTTTGATGTCATACGTACGGGCCAAGATTTTGAGGTCAACAGTTTTCTTACATCGCAGATTCACCTTTCGGATTTCATCACTCAGATCATTCAGACATCTTAGATTGAAGTGCGGGACGTGGATTTTCCTAATTAGTTCATTCAAGCCTAAGGACAGCACACTAGAAGCAGATCAGAAAGGACTGAGATAGGAGGGAACAATGGGTCTCCTCTTTTCTTTGTCTTTTTCTTTTGGCATGATGTACGCATGTTGCAGTACACCGTGCGAGTCCCAACTGGCAGCTTCAGACAGCTTGTCAGCTTTATAAGCATCGCGGATTTCCAGCAACACAACACTTTTCTCCTTCATCACGACTCCGTAGTTCGTGTTCTCAAGGAACATCTTCTTTAACCCTTCTTCATACCTTTTCCGGCACTCGATCCCGGTTTCCCCAGGGTTCCGATCCAGAGGAGACAAGACCAACCCAGAAAAAACTTGTTTGACACCCACGACATATTCATTTAGAACGCAACCAACCGGTTTGGGAAGGCCTTTCTTGGTAACTCCCAATGGGTTGATTCGAAACTGGGTTTGAATCAGTCCCATTTTTTGTAGACAATTTAATGTATCATTACAGGCTCTGTTGAGACCATCCTTAGTAGCAATAGTGCCAGGGAAAGACACATTTTTTGCGTTAAACAAAAAAGGATGAATGCCGTCCACTTCACTGAGCTTGACTGCGACATGCCCGTCACGTCGAGGCAAGTCAAGGTCAACACAGGCGCACTCAAAACTGCTACACTGTGCAAAAGCCTTTTGGTTATGCAGAAGGTCTCCAACCGATTTGGCTTTAGTCCAAACGGCCTTGGTTCTCTTCGCATACAGGTCAACAAGTGAAGGAGGTAGCACATTCACACCAATCCATTTTTTAACATCAATTTCAACACGAGCTTTGTCAACAATCGTACAAAAAGGGACTTTAATAGTTATATTAGGACGTGGGTTCAATCCAAATTTCTTCTTGGAAACATTGGTTAGGATGCCACGAATGTTCTGCCTACCACGTACTTGGTTCACAGTTTTAACTGCATTATTAAGTTCAAATAGCTCATCCAACTCATATTTATACAGATCTTTGCGTTTCCAGGGAGCCCTTAATAATGCAATCAATTCCGCTTTCCTGCGTTCGTACTTTGTCCTGGTTCTGATCAACTCAGTGATCTGCCATTCCCCACCAGCCTCTATTTCCTGTTTGGCATCTTTTAGCAGCAAGTTCACACCACAACATTTCCCTTTAGTAAAGCCAAATAGCAAACCCACCAAACGCCATGCTTTCACCCATTTGCTCCCAGTGTTGTTAGACATAGATATTATCCGGCGCTTTTTTCTATTCTCCAACAGTTTAAGGATGCAGAGTAGATCGGGTTCGCCGCTCACATCTACATCAAAGCAAACAAAAAGCAAAGGTTCGTTAATGACAACGGGGGTAGAATTTCCCTTTTCCCGTTTTCCTCGAGGTTTTCTTATTTTATTTGGTTTGCCTTTAACTCCGCGCGCATTCAGACCGGGGTTCAGACTCTTAATCAGGGCAACTTCTAAAGATTCAACCGTGCAAACCTCACCGAACCAAATAGGAATAGCAACGTGATGGTCACACCCCAATTTCCGCAACCAGGAGTGGACTTTCTGCCTACTGTCACCATTAGCAGATCTGCAATGTTCGGACCATCTTTCCTTAAGGGACCGAATTGTCTTCCCCACATATGTGAGTTTAAATTTCAGCGAGGTCGGGACATAAACACAGCATTTCGCATTAGTAAGCTGATCCCACTGGTCAGGGCCCATCCGCAGCCACAACGACACGAAAGGCTTACCCCAACTAATAAGACCCAGTAGGCAGGCAAGCATTATTAGCAGAACGTGGACACGGTTTAGTTGAACGCATAGTGAACTGTCAGCGTGATGCTTAAGATCGGTGATCCGCTTCGTGGCCCGTAGCAGGGACCTCAAACTGTAGCAGCCTAGTTTCCCCTGATGGGGAGCACATCAGATGACTTTCCAGGCTCGTCGTCGGTGTCGTCAGGCTGCTTGGACGATTCGCCTTTCTTCCCGCCCTTCTCTTCCTTCAGGAGATCGGCGTAGTCCTGCAGATCCCGTCTTGCAAGCTCCCAGGCACCCATTTCCTTGCGGAAATATTGGATGTTTTTCTCTTGGCACAGCTCATGCACCCGTGTGTAATGCAGTGAACTGTAGAAGTCACTCCGAATTTTCATGTAAGTTGCGAGGCCCCCTTCATCTTCTTCCTCCTCGTCCTCGGCATTCGACGCGTTCTGAATAGTGTCCACATCTTCCGTGTCATCGACAGTGACATCGGGTATATTACTTGTGGGTTCGACCACTTTAGCGTTCCCTTTGTCATCACCCAACCCCTGCATAAGGGCAGCCAGCATGCGTTTGATATCGGACAGCTCACTGTTGTTCTCCATCTTGACTTGGAGGTTCTGTTTCACCCCGCCGGTTCCCTCCTCATCGGATGAGACATCGATGCGTTTCGGCCGAGTCTTCATGCTACCCCGAGAACGGGACTTAGCACGAGCACCGGAAGGTGAGTTCACAAGCGGAGTTCGTACGCTGATCCGCTTCCTCTTCTCGCTGCTTGACACATCCTTACTATCCTTACTCCCCTTCTCGACGAGCTTCTCCTTTCGAAGTTGCTCTAATTCCTCCTTCTTCGCCGACGTCAGTTTCGCCTTCGAATCTACAACTTCCAACTTCTCGGTTACGAGCTTCAAAGAGTCGTCGAGGGTGGTTGTTACCCAAGCCTCCATTTCATCGGACTTATCAGCAGGTCTTGACTCTGTCCTGCTGTTCTCCTCTGGGAGCTCAATAGCCTTCCCACCGCTTCGTTTGGAACCACCGATCTTCTTCTTAGCCTCCTCCAATGCCTTGTTCATCTTGATCCCTTCGAGGATGTCCATGTATTCTTTGGTGAAGTAGGCTCGGTTTCCAGGTCCTGGAAACGCATTCGCGGAATGGCCTTTCCCACTGCCAGAAGAGTTTCCACCGTGCGCCACCGGTTGATTACCGGGGTGTGAATACTGAGGAGGTGGTGGAGGAGGGGGAGGAGGGGGAGGAGGAGGAGGAGGAGGTGCAGTAATAGGATTAGCAATAGCAGGCGGGATCGTTGGTGCTACTCCGGGGGGTATAGCCGACGGAACACCTGCAGGTAAGGTCGGAGCCGTGGCTGCCATTGGGTGTGTAACCCAAGGTATATGTGCCGGCCAATGTCCAGCGTGCAACCAGGGATTAACACCCCACTGTCCATTCGGATATGGTAGCGAAACGCCGGGAGGAGGCGCAGGTGCCTGCCCTCCTGAAAACGGATATGGCTGAGCAGCGGCAATACTAGGCGGAGGCGGATTACTGCCAGGATAAGCCGGCGCAGCATTCCCCACTGGTTGATTGTAACCATTACTCCCGCTCCCTTCCATCCAGTAGCGGTTCTCGCCAGACCACTTGCCCCGCCGTCCGGGCTTCTTTCCCCGACCCCTTCCGTACATGCGACTAAGGAAGATAATCACAGCAACACCAAACCCCACGCTACAACCAACGAAAAGCTCTCGATAGCACACTTGCTCCTCCGAGATAACGGTCGCGAGCGCAAAAGATCTCACCACCATACCAGTAATGGGGTCCCTCGATCAACTTCGATCCTTCAGCCGCATTAGCCGTAGCCCTTGTCAGCGCAAGGCCGTCCGTACGGGGACAGATCTAAAGTAGTCGATCGCGAAGGTAGTTACAACAAGCGATCGCTCACGGAAAAAGACGTACGCATTAGAGTTCGGACGATACATCCACAGCAAAGATGCGCATCAAGCTGAGGAAAAATAAGATGATGACAAAACCCAGGAGAAAACCTGGTGGAAAACCCGCTAACGCTGGGCATAGCAAACAAGGAATATAATTCGACTTGCAAAGAACGAAATTGCAATAACATGCAGAATTATAAGGTAGAGAGATTACACATTACGAAATATGCAATTCTGTAATTACAGAATTATGAAATATGAGAAGATGAAAATTGAGAAATGAAAATTGAGAAATGAAAAATGAAGATTTAAATTTAAATTTAAATTTATAAAACTGGAAAGTGCGAATTCACCGTAGTGAAGACGGCGTCGTAGTCTCGTTACCAAGCCACGGCAGGGTCGAGACTAGGGCTGTATACCATGATAAAAGATAAATACATTATGGAATTATAAAATAAAGAAGACAACGTGAGCTTTAGTATCATGGCGCCGTCATCTCCTTCAACGACGGTCTCAGCTTCACACCAGCTGCGACATACTCAACCCTTCCACTCATTCGCCACTCAGATTGAGGCATAACTTCCTACTTCCTATGCTAATTTATACTAGTTTTTACTGTACGTACAATTGGGTGCTCAACTCGTAGCACGTACCACACTCCCGGTACCCGTAAGTATCAGAAACCAGTACCAAAAAACGTTTGGTCGTGCCAGCCTCACGAAGGCCGCATTCCATACTCGATACATGCGCAGACTAAGTCCGAGCAGTTTCCGTCAGGATATCAGATATCTGGTCCTGTAATCGGGCTACTGCAAACGCAGCCAAACCATGCTTCGTCTTCATATGGGCAGGAGGCCGAGATGCACGAGTTGTCTTTTGACTGAGTTGTCTGTCTAAGAGAGTTATCAAGAAGATAGGCATAAAGAAATTCAACGTTGCTTGACCAGAGATTTGTCAGCATGGGGACTTTGTGTTTCTTAATTAATTTGCCTATCTTGTCTCAGATAAGGGAAGGGACCTCTCTGGGGCCAGTATCTCTATGCTCCCTTGAGATTGACGGGAGATCTCTTGGGTGTACTCTCAGATGAGGGATGGGACCTCTCTGGGATCAGCACTCTATACTTCCTAAGACTGAAGGGAGGTTCGTGTGAAGTACACTATCGGCTGTTGTTGTTGTTGTTGTTGTTCAGTTCTTTTATTTGGGGCATGGATCGGTTGACTGTGAGTATGGATGTTTGTTGGTTGTCTGTGCTTTGGATTTTCTCCTCTAACCTAAAGACGGGTTGATTGTCGGGGCTAGCCAGAGCGTTACCGCAGTAGGTTGCAATCTGGTGGGGCCAGCAGGTCCCCGACGCGAGTATCGAATTCCGTAGTCGACTGAGGCTAAGACTCCGGGAGTCTGGCCTGTAAGGTCAAAAGGGGTCAGTTGGAACCCTACGGCAGTCAGATGCTGTAATCCAGTGAGGTTCGCTAGAGCCTGAAACCGTGGTTAGACCGGGTCCCACGTTCAAAAATCTGGCGGGGCAGCCAGCGCCCTAGGCCTTAAACTGGTGGGTGGGCCGGTCCCTCACCGCAATGGTCAAATTCGGGTACGAGACAGTTGGACTGACGGGAGGTCTACTGTCATAGGGTGACCAGCAGGGTTGTCAGGCAAGGGCCCCCGGGGGCAAAGCCGGGGTAGGGGTTTGACCCCCGGACCCCCGCCACAGGGGTGCCCC